CAATTTTCAAAGGGCAGCTAGAGAAGATAAAGTCAAATATTATAATGAAAAGTGCAAAAATCTGGAGTTGGAAGACCAAAAGGGAAGAGCACACTCAGCATTTCTCAGCAGAGGGAACTAAGGAAATCTCCAGGCCTTAACTTTCAATACTGAAGAATTCGTTGGGCAAAATATTGAATGGTGCAGAAATCATCAAAAGAAGATGAAAAGAATACACAGAGTCACTGTACCAAAAAGAAATGGTTGATGCTCAGCTATTTCAAGAGGTAGCATATAAACAAAAGCCAACGATAAGGAAGGAAGAAATCCAATGCGCACTGAAGCCACTGGCAAAGAACAGGGCTTGGGCATTTGATGGAATAGAAATAGAAATTTTTCAACAAACTGATGCGGCACTGGAGGCAGTAACTCTATGCCAAGAAAGTTGAAAGACAACTACCTGGCCAACTGATTGGAAGAGGTCTGTATTTCTGCCCATTCCAAAGAGAGGTGACCCAATGGAATGAGGAAACCATCGGAGTATATCATTAATATCACATGCAAGTAAAATTTTGCAAAAGATCATTTTAAAATGGTGGCAACTATACATTGACAGGGAGATGCCTGAGGTTTAAGCCAGATTCAGACAAGGACGTGGGATGAGGGATATCATTGCTGATATCAAATGGATCTTGGCTGAAAACAGAGAATACCAGAAAGATGTTCACCTGTGCTTTCGACTGTGTGGATCATGACAAGCTATGGACCACATTGTGGAGAATGAGTATTCCAGAACACTTAATTGTGCTCACTGAGTAATCTGTACATAGACTAAGAAGCAATTGTCTGAACAAAACAAGAGGACACTGGTCTAAAATCAGGAAAGAGGTGTGCCAGGGATGTATTCTTCACTGTATTTATTCAATCTGTACACTAAGCAAATAATCCAAGAAGCTGGTTTATATGAAGAACATGGCCTCAGAATTAGAGGTGGACTCATTAACAACCTGAGATATGCAGAAGATACAATCTTGCTTGCTAAAAGCAAAGAAGACTTAAAGTACTTACTGATGAAGATCAAAGACCAGAGTCTTCAGTATGGTTTGCATCTCAAAGTTTAAAAAAATCCTCACCAAAAAAAAAAAAAAAATCCTCACCTTTGGACCAATAAATAACAACATGATAAGTGGAGAAAAGACTGAAGTTTTTTAAAGACTTCATTTTGCTAGGATTTACCATCAACACTCATGGAAGCAGCAATCAAGAACTCAAACAACTCATTGCATGAGGGAAACGAGCTGCACAAGACCTATTTAGAGTGTTCAAGAGCAAAGATGTCCATTTAAGGACTAAAGTGCGTGTGACCCAAACCATGGTATTTTCAATTGCCTTATATGCATCTGAAAGTTGGACAATGAATATGGAAGACCATATAAGAATTGATACGTTTTGAATTATGGTGTTGGAGAGGAATACTAAAAGTACCATGGACTGCTAAAATACACTAATCTGTGTGGCAGAACTACAACCAGAATGCTCCTTGAGATTCAGGGTGGCGAGACTTTGTTCTCATACTCAGACATATTGTCAGGAGGGACCAGTCCCTGGAGAAGGACATCATGGTAGGTAAAGTGGAGGGTCAGCAAAAAAGGCACATAAGGAGATGGATGGCCTGACACAGTGGCAGCAGCAATGGGCTCAAGCATAACAAAAATGTTGAGGATGGCAAAGGACTGGTCAGTTTTTAGTTCTGCTATGTTTAAGGTCGCTACGAGTCAGAATTGACTTGATAACACCGCCCAACAACATCATCATTGTAAAAAGTCAATGGAAGGTTTTCATACTAAAAAAGTAGTCCTGGTGTGGCGCTGTGGGTTAACATGCTAGACAGCAAAGTCAGTCTGAACCTCAAGGTCAGTGGTTCAAGCTCACCAGCCACTCCTTGGAAAACCTATACAGGGTTCCTATGGGTCAGAACTGACTCGACAGCACTTAACAACAGAGGAGGGAGGAGGCAAGTCACTGGCTAGAAGGTAAGCAGATGGTAACTTGAGGGAAGGGGAAGACAATATACAGTAGGAGGGAGATCAGCAAATAATGATGGAGGCAGGGGGAGACACAGAGAGAAGCGGTCAATACTGCTGTACACACAACCCTGCAGTAACGGCGGTCTACAGTAGACACTTGGATAGATAAGCACACAGAATGATGTGGCAAGGACAGTGTGAGTACACCACCCACAAATACAGAGAGGGTTGACAGACAGCATCTGGGCAAGGGTTATTTACTTTTGCTGCAAACATACACAGGAACGTGTTAGAGCTCAAAAGGACCAAAGTTATGAAAACTTCTTACACATAACCAAACTTCTTGAAGAAATGAACCGCTGGGTCTGAAGGTTCAGGGCCATAGCCCCCCCATGTGTGCCAGAGTAGAACTGTGCTCCTAAGGCTTTATGTGGCTGATTTTTCACAAATAAATTAACAGGCTTTTCTTTTGAGACATCTCTGAGTAGACTCAAGCCTCCAATCTTTCGTTGAGCAGCAGTCAAGTGTTAAGAGTGTTTGCACCCATCAGGGCCATGCAGCAAACTTAGTAAGAACTGCACGCAGCTGAAGCAAAGGGTTGTTACGTTGTTACATCACCACACCAAATTCCCCCTACAAAGGGAGCACACCACCGGCCTGCAGACAAAGTCTTTCTCTGCCTTTCTTCTGAGCACAATGGGGCCCCAACCCACGCACAAAGCTCTGGCCAACTCTCTCCCGGCCTCTGGCTTCTGTCCCCATCACAGCATCACCTTAGGTTGGATGGACCCAAACTGCCAGAAGCCAGTTTCAGTCAAAAGAGCCTGGTACCCTAAGAGCCAAGCTTGCCAGCGCTTCCTACTAACAGAGCCCCTTCAAAGCAACTTGGGGTTTCTCCTTACATCTTAGGACCAGCAGACACACTCAGACGTTTAGGAGGAGTAGGGAAGATGTGCAAGCAATCTTTTTCTTTTTTTAACTATTGATTGTGATTTGAGGGTTTACTGAGCAGATAGCAGTTTTATATTAACAATCACACTTTGTTTCATTACAATTATTTCAATCCCCTCCATGAACCACCAGTGAATACTCTTTAACTCTTGCATTCCTCCCTGTGTCTACTGCCACCTTCATCTTTCTTCTTTTATATTGCCTAACCCTAACCCCCTCCCCGGTAACCAGAATGTTTCTTTTATCAAGAAAACCTTTTCTTGACTTTTTACAACAGTTGTTGTTGTTAAGTTCCGTCAACTCGGTTACAACAGTTGTTGTTGTTAGGAGCCATCGAGTTGATACTGACCCATAGCGACCTTATACACAGCAGAACGAAACACTGCCCAATCCTGGGCCAACGTCACTGCTGTTGCCACGCTTGAGCTCATTGATGCTGCCACTTTGCCAATCCATCTCATTGAGGGTCTTCCCATTTTTCTCTGACCTTCCACCTTACCAAACATGATCTCCTTTTTCAGCAACTGGTCACTCCTGACAATATTCCGAAGTATGAGAGACGAAGTTTGGCCAGCCTCCTACAGTATTTCTCCTTTTGTGATGGCAAGCAGTCTTTCTTAAAGCACCTGATTAGAAGGTGAGACTAATTCAAGTAGATGGGCATCCCCAGGTGATTCCTATTGCGGAGGTAGGTAGTGAGCCTTTGCAATCTCTTCGTGTGTGCCCATGCCTTCCCCACCCCTTAAAATTGGATTCTTTGATCTAATGAGCCTCATGTCTGGGAGATGAGACAAAATTGTGGATGTTCAGGAAAAAGTCTATCTGTACTTTTCACGGTATCATTTTCTCTGTCAATAGCGGTGGTGTCGAACTGGTTCCAACTCATAGCGACCCGGTATAGGATTTCAGAGGCTGTAAATCTTTACGAGAGCAGAAAGCCTTATCTTTCTCCAAAGGAGCAGCTGTTGGGCTTGAACCATGGACCTTGTGGTTAGCAATCCAGTGCTTATCCTACAGTACCACTGAACTCTTCAGCTTTGTCGTTTTGTTGTTGTTAAGAGTCGTCGGTCGAGTCAGTTCTGACTCAGAGCGACTCTGTAGGTTTCTGTGGAGCATCTTGTGAGTTTGCACCGCCGACCCTGAGTTCAAACTGGCCTTGTGATCCAGTGCATTATCCTGCAGCACCACAGCTTTAGTGAGACACAATCACACAGAATACAGGTCATTCGTGTCCCTGGGTGACAGGTTGGTAGTTCAAGCTCACTGAGAGTTGCCTCAGATGACAGGCCTAGATGACAAACCCTACAAAGCACATTTCTACTCTGCACAGTCGGGGTCACCGTGAACTGGGCTCGACTCAGTGGCCACTAACAGCAATAACACGTAGTATATTAACACAATAGGCACTAGACAACAATAGCATGCAACCATCATTGCAATCAATGTCAGAACTGTTTCACCACCAAAAATGAAACCCATTCTCTGCAGCCATCACCCTACCCCTGCCCCTGAACCGATCCCTCCATCTCCCCCATCCCAAGCCCTGGAAATCACTAACCAATCTGCTTTCTGTCCCTATGGACAAGCCTATAAAGGTCATTTCAAATCAAAGGGATCATTCAATATGTGGCCTTTTGTGTCTGGTTCCTTTCACTTAGTAGGTTTTCAAGGTTCGTATCCACTGTCCTGTGTATATTCTCACCAACACCCACCAAAACAAACATTTCCCCATGAGTGACCCGGCAGGCAAGGTGAAGATAGCGGGAGACACAGGGAGGATGCAAGAGTTAAGAGTGAAGAGAGGGAAATACTGTTCCCTGAAGGTCCATGGAGGGAAGTGCATTCATTGTACTGTGGCAAAGTCTAAGATCTGTTGAATGTAACACTGCTGTCAACTCTCACTCAATTCACAACTAAAAATTAAAATAAACTAAATGTTTCCCTAAGGTGGGGTAAAATTTTAAATATTAAAGTCAGTTGAGATGACCGGATTTTGTGCGGGCGACTCCGCCCCTACGCCTCCCCCCAAGTCTGTGGCCTTACCCACAGTCATCCACTCGGGGGGCAGCAGCCGGCACTTCTGTCTTTGCTTCAGGTTCACGGCCAGCCAGAGGGGCACCTGCACCGGTAACCCGGGGTTAAAGGGCCCCAGGTCGCCCTGCGGAGGAAAACAAAGCGCCGTCAGCCCAGCAGGGCCAGAGGACCGGCCCTGGGGAAACTGAGGCGCCGTTGCATGCCGAGGGGGGGCTCTGACCAGCGGGAGCCTGCCGTCACCTGGCCCGGAGTTCCCTAGTTCCGGGGGAAATCCCATTAACTTCCAACTCTAGTTCGGCACCAGCCTGGGGAAGCCCACCACACCCGGCCGCCTCGCCTCCCCGTCCCACCCCTGGACTGTCCGTAGTAACCGCGGGTCACTACGACTCCATGTGACAGAGGAGAACTGCCCCCTGGCTGCCTAGGCTGTGGTCACTAAGGAAGCAGATGGCCAGCCCCTTTCTCCCGCGGTTCATACCGCCGCCCTTTAGGTTAGCGGCGAATTGAGCGCCACCAGAGTTCTCTCCTTTCCACCTCCGACCTCCAGGCTGCAGGGCCCGTTTATAAAGGGCTCGGGGCTCGGAGACAAGCCCCGGGGCCTCCACAGTTTAAAACGCGAAACTGACGCGCTGGGCTCCGTCTCTGACAAGTGGAACCAACCAGGGGACAAGGCCACAGTGCCCGGAGACACGGGGGCAGCTGGAGCCGGCGGCCCGCCCTCCGACTTCCCGGCCTTACCCCAATAAGATAGATCTTGTCCAGACTGAAGTTAGGAATAATGGTCACCAGCTCCTTCTCCGCCAGGAACTCTACCTCAGCCGCGTCCATAGCGGCGCTGGGTTGCCCCTGGGTCACCGCCTCAGTCGGAGGAGGTACCACGGCCGCCGTTTCCCGCCACAGTGCAGGGCCTGCCCGCAGCCGGAAGAGGCCTCCGCTTGGCCTATGGGAAAGCGGCGCTTTACGCGGTGCAGTAAAGAACGGAAACCGCGGTTGTTACAAGTGCAGGGATTGGCCGGCCCACCGCGCGCCCGAAGCCGACTCACCTGGCGCGTTGCACGAGCCTTTACGATGTACACCTGCGCTTCTTCCCACAGCACGAGTCCATACCAGGCTGCGCGCCCCTGCCGAGTCCGCACCGCGCCACGAGGGCACTTATTTACTGGGCCAAGTTCTAGGAACCCTGGCGGCGCCGTAGTTAAAGCTCTCGGTGCGCTCCTGAAGATTGAGGGTTCGAACCCATTGGCCGCTCTTAGGGAAAAAAAAATGTGACAGGCAGCCTCATCAAAGGTGGTGGTGGTTCGCTTCCTTGGAGTCCGCTCCGCCTCACAGCGATTCTATGCATAATAGAAGTTAACACTGCCGGGTCTCACCACCCTTGCGCTTACGTTTGAGCCAAATGTTGCCGTCACTGTGTCGGTCTATCTCCTTGTGGGTTATTTCTCCTTTTTATTGAGTCTCCACTTTACCAAGCACAATGTCCTTCTCCAGAGACTGATCCTTCCTGACAGGTCGAACCTACATGAGACAGTCTCCCCCTCCTTGCTTGTAAGGAGCATTCTGGCTGTACTTCTTCTTCACAGCTAGATTTGCCCGTTCTTGTGGTAGTTCATGTATATTTTAGATTTTTCACCAACAACTGAGGTGGCGCTACAGCATAAGCACTGGATTAAAAGGTCACTTGGAACGTTAGCTAGGCGGTTCAACCTCCCAAGCCGCTCCTAGGAAACCGTCTGAGTCAGAACCAACTCGATGGCATCTAACACTAAGAACCAACAGCGTAATTCAAAGGCGTCGTTTCTTCTCTGGTCGGCCAGCTTTTTCATGCATAGGAGATGATTGAAAACACCGGGTTCAGGCCCACCTTAGTTCTCAAACTGACATCGTTACTCTTAAACCCTTTTTCAAGGCTTGCACAATGTAATAGGTCATGTGATTTCTTAGCCGCTGCTTCCACAAGCATTAACTGTGGATCCAAGTAAAATGAGATCCTTGACGTCACTCTTTTCTCCGTTTATCATGATGTTTATTGGTCCAGCTGTGAGGATTTCTGTTTTCTTTCCATTGAGTTCTAAGTTGTTACAGCCTTGGAAACCCTAATCTATTGTATCATTTACTGTATGCGTCAGAATCTACCGCAAGGCAGTGGGTTGAGTTTGGGGCCAAGTTCAGGAGCAGGAGATAGAACACAATGGATGAGGGTAAACGTGAAAGAGCTGCCCTGACTAGAGTTTGAACCTGAACATCAAGCAGTATTTGACTATAACCCAAAATACAAGATTAATATCAATTCATGTAATTGAGATATCACAAAATTTTACACCTCAAAAATGTTAAATGGAAAATGTTGTCATATATATTTTACAAACGACCCCCCCCCCAATATTAATGACCATGAGTCCATCTTGCTATCGATAAGTGGTTAAATAAATGGGGGGAAAGGCAGAAATGTCTCAGGCCGATGAAGTCTCAATAATTAAATGGAAGTCATTGGGCTGCTAACCACAAAGTCATCGGTTCAAACCCTGGCCGCCGTCTGCTCCTATAACCATTTACAGTCTTGGAAACCCTATATAGGGTGACTGTGAGTCAGAATTGACTTTCTGGCTGTGTGTTTTCACCCTCAAGGAGCTAGGCTGTGCAGGCTGACCTCCTTCCAGAGAGGACTGGATGGAAGAAGCTGTGGGGTGCCGTTTACGCTCTCATACTTGGGGTCACTGTGGGTGGCAGAGACCTTGAGGACAACTAGTGCTGGTGGCAGAGGTGGCTGAGCACGGTGCCCCACGGCGGTTAGAAGTGAAGTAAGACATCTGTGTCTCAACCTTCAGCCAGCTGATGGACCTGTAAGGTGAGCAACAGCACCAGGGAAACACACTCCTTAGAACAGGCAACCATACCAGATCAAAAGGGCCACATTGGGCTAGGGATAAGGATGGAGTCCAGATGTGGTGCTGTAGGATAAGCACTAGACCACAAGGTTGGTTTGAGCCACAAGACTTGGAAACCCTATACAGGGTCGCTATAACCGACTCAACGGCACCTAACAGCAACAATAAAGTTCAGAGGACAGGAAGGGATAGGAAAGACAGACAAATGGAAACGGGAAACACAGGGAGGAACTGGGAAGAGTGCTATTGCATTGTGGGGATTGTAGTCAATGTCAAGAAACAAAACGTGTACAAGCTGTTGAATGGAAAACTGATTTTCTCTGTAAACTTTCACACAAATCACAATGCAAGAGTTTTTAACATTAAAATAAAATTTTTTAAAAAGGCAATAAATCTCACCGTCCTGACCCAATAAAGATTTCCAAGAACTTGGGCTTGATCCTGTGTGCCAGTTAGTGTCAGTTCCAACTCAGAGCGACCCTATATAGGATTTCCAAGGCCGTAAATCTTTGTAGAAGCACAAAACCTCATCTTTCTCCCACGGAGCAGCTGATGGGCTCTAACTACTGAGACTGTGGTTAGCTGTCCACTGCTAATCCTACGGCGCCACCGTCCTGAATGCCAAAGGAAGCCATTTAAAGTGCGCAGGTGAGAAGCACCTTGTTTAGGGTGCTTTTGAGGAAGAAACCATTGTAGTAGGTGCAGTTGGGATGGGACACAGCCTCGTGACCAAAGGTACTCACCTGCAGGCTGTGAGTGAATGAAGATTCAGGTGAGAGTTGATGAGGCCTGACTGTGGACAGTGTGAAGTCTGTGTGAAGCCAAGGCCCATCTGTGCTGTATCCAGAAGTGTAAGGCTGATAAGCTTCCAGATCCTAACAAGGTGGCTGCAGGTATTTCCCCATCTACCTGTGGCTGGCTCCCTCCCTAAGGGGCCTGCATTTTCCTTCCTGCAGCTGAAGGGCTCCTGAGTTTGGCAGGGGAGCCATGGTGCCAGCCCCACCGCGCACATCACAGCAGAGCCAGGCGCTCTCAAATGGCTCCGACATGGTGTGACTACACTCTTGTGTCTTTTTGCCATCTGCTGCTGTCATTAAAAAATTACATTTCCATCTGCTTTCACACTTTGTTCCCCTCCCAGCCTCCCTTCCTGGAGGAGTATGGCGGACGGCGCAACTCCCAAGTTGCAGGACCAGAACGTTCCCTCGCCTGCCTCTCAGAACCTGGAACTTTCTCCCAGGCACATGGGGGAGGTGGGGCTAGGGTTAACAGGTGCTGTCTGTCACCAGTGCTGTAAATGTCTGTCCATCTCCTCTTCACTGACTATGGATTGGGACCCTTGTCCCCCCGACACTCACACACTTTGGAGACACCAATCACAAAGCTTCTTTTTTGTCAGTTTTAATCAGTATGCTTGGTTTTAGCATTAAAACTAAATGAATCACAATAAAACATAAAAAAACAAAACTAAATGAAAAATAAACTACACACATCATTAGTAAGCACTCCCCCAGGGATGTTATTTAAGGAAGAACAGACTCAAAAAATAAGAATATGAGAGCAATGTTTTGGGTTCAGAATAATTTGTCATTTTAGACCAGCCCCATCCCCTTCTATATCTAAAACAAAACAAAAATTACTGCCATTGAATCTATTCCAATTTATAGCAACTCTAGAGGACAGCAGAAGGAGCTCTGGTAGCGTAGTAGTTACAAATCAGGCTGTGAACCTCAGGGACAGCAGTTCGAAACTACCAGCTGTTCCGCGGGAGAAAGATGAGGCTTTCTGCTCCCATAAGGAAACCCTGCACAGGGTCACTATGAGTCGGAACCGACTGCACGGCACATAACAATAGCTCCTACGACATACGAGGCTAAGTGGAAAAGTATTGCTACAAAAGTTCCAGTTCATACTTGCATGGGCTTATTCCCAACATAACATGTGTAAACATGTCTCTGCCATCAGTGAACGACACAGACAGATTCCCTCAGGCCTTTTCATCTCTTTAGGATGCTTCAAAAAAGATCCAACCAAAACAGAAGCTTCCGACGGGATCTGCTGGGCCAGCTAGATTCAAGGCAGAGAGGTCAGCTCAGAAAGTTCTGGCAATTGGTTTTTGAGAATTCCACAGGGATCATCTTGAAGGATCTTCCTGGAGGACACATGACAACCACTGGGGTTTATTTCAGGTGGAGTTTTAAGGAAATGGAAAGCTGTTTGTGTGAGAAAAAGGCCAAGGAAATTGCTCTGAGGAATGTTTTTCCATCTTGATAAGGCACCTGCTCATTCTTCAAGGAAACCTAGAACTGTCCTAGAAGAATTCCACTGGAAAACCTCACCCCATCCACTCTCCAGTTCTCATCTTTTCCCTTCATACTTCTTTTTATTCCCCAAACTCAAAGAACATTTAAAAGGAACACGATTTGAGTCCCTCGAGGATGCCAAAACTGCCTTTTGATGTGGTATAAATCGAGGCATGAAGAATTCTTTGGGGAAGGGTTAGCGAGACAGAAACATCACCTTCAGTTTATAGACCTAGCTGGAGGTATGTCGAGAAACAACAGCTTCACATTTTGATATTTTTGTTTAATCAAAGTGTCTATGATTTTTACAGCAATATATTTTTTTAATTTATCCGTGGGTCCTGCTCTAGAGCCTACCCTCTTAGCATCTACTCTGTTTGTCAACATCACAAGACATCCATACCCACAATTTCACATAATCCTCAAGCACCCCCATGCCTTATCCCCATTCCCCAGATGAGCAAAATGAGTCCTAGACAGGTTTCACAGTCATGCTGGCTTTTATGTGGATTATTTTACTCAATCCTTAAATGTTCCCCTTGAGCAAGGGCACTGTTATTATCCCTGTTTTACAAGTGAGGAAACAGGCTCAGAGAGACTGAGTGACTTGCCCAAGGTCACACAGCACCATGGGTATCTT